GCTAAAATAGCCATCTAAATTGAATGTTACTCATTCAGAACTGATTGTCTATAAACATTTTCAGCATGTTTTAAAGAACTCATTTCAAACATGAAAGAAAACCATTACAGCTTTGAAATTCACTAGTTTAAATGCCCTGCTGATACTCTCAGAAAGATTACTTATGTCTGACCATGATGCCATAAATATTGATTATTCCTTTGATCAGTAAATTATTTCAAGATATTTTCAGGGGGAATAGTTCAACTTTAAATATTTTTCAGACTTTAGCTATACAAAATTAAAGATTCATCAGTAGGTTCTTTTAAATAGCAAATTCATTGTAAGCATTTAATATTTAACTGAAAAAACATAAAAAGAGGTGATGCTGTGCATATGAAATGTCACACACAGAGACATGCAGTAGATTGGCTGTTACATAGGTCTGGGAGGAAGCAAGGTTAGGAGCATGATAGAGCATGGGTTTTTTTCTCAGACTGACTCTGACAATATGCTATGAGCCACTAAATTATAACTTTAGATGACTGAATTGTGCACGTAAGCATTTAAAAGGAGACAAGACTATACTTCGGAAAATGGGATCTTGTTACGTGGATATAGACATTATTCTACACACATATATGAACAGTGGAATATTCTATTATTTACTATTTATTCCTCTAAGGTGAAGAAACTTAACTGTCCATGAAGTTAAGAGCCTAAGGAATCACTGCCTAGAAGTAAAGCACTTCACAACTCTCTCCTTTTATTGTAATGCAAATTCATTGGCTTCCATAATGGAAAACTTCAGCAAATGCACCATAAGGATTCAGATCAGACACTGGCATTACTTCCAATATCAAGAGTAAGACTAAGGTTTGAGGATTCACACACCTACTTGGGTGGCACAGGCCCTTCCAGAAGTTCAAAGTGTTGCCCAGGATTTAGAGCTTCCATGTAGCACATTCCTCTGGGGCCACCAAGGTCAATCATTCCCAGGGGCCACATGCTCACTTCTGTTTCCTGACCCTTCTCAAGGCCTATCCTCCTCTTAAGTGACACCACTTCCACATGTAAACTTTGGACCCTACAATCTTTACCCTGTTGTACACATACTTTTCTTCCCAACAGAGTCCAACAACAACCTTCTTCCCTCAGCTTCAAACTCCCATGCTTGGCCCTGTCCTGAAATCAAAAGTGGAGGGCAACTGCCAAGTCCACAAGGTTCTAAGGTGGAAAGGGACTGGGGTGGAGGAATGAGTGGCTGAACTCTTTTCCAAAGAGTTCCTAAGGTCTCCTAAGATGTACACATCTGAATAAATCAGGTACTCTGACTTCTATAGGCTCATGTGAGCCTCAGCTGTCCTACCTGGTCCCTTCTTTCCAAAAAACTTAATTCATAAGCAAGCATAGGTGGAGGTGTATCTCAGTGCTAGAGCACATACTTAGCATACATGAGGTCCTGGGTTCAACTCCCAGCATCACAAAACCAAACCAAAAGTAAAGATAGCAAACAATAATTATATATATATATATATATATATATATATATTTGTGTCTACACATATATATGTATATGTATTATGTATATATACACATCTACATATATATATGCTCATATGCATATATATAAACAAACTTAGATTAAACCCTCCCTGTCAACAAAGAAAACTAATTTTTTCTCATGAAAAATTATGGTTAAAAAGAATAAAACCTTCATAAATTCCCTTTTGTGAAAATATTCCCTTTAATAGCTTTATCAGGGCCAGGGAGATAGCTCAGTAGAATAAGTGCTTGCCTGGCAAGTGCAAGGTCTTGAGTTCAATCCCTGGTACAACAAAATATTGCAGGAGAAGAAAGTATTTCCAAGAAACAAAAATATATTTTAAACAGCTAAATAAATCTTGTGACCCAAAAAAAAAAAAAAAA